AATAAAAGAGAAACATGCAAATTGGTGTCACTCTGCTATACCCACCAGCCAATCAGAGCAACTATGCAAATTAACCCAACAAAGATGGTAGTTAATTTGCATATGCAGGAGTGGAGTGAAGACTGAAGGCTCTGGCTGGAGTGAAGACTGATGAAGACTGAAGACTTACGACTGAAGAGGCTTGGCTTCTCCGCTGCGGCTGAACCAAAGGCCTGGGTCCTGGGTGCCGGAGGAAAACCGGTGCCAGCAGCCAGGGGAAGGAAGGCCTATTGCATGAATCTTTGTGCAACGGGCTTCTAGTATAGTATATGTGCATCTATGTATATACCCACATCTAATAGTTTGACCTTAGGAAACAGTGACCATTTCCACACATATGACCAAACACAGAAAGACACTTTGTACTTATAAAAGGTTATACCAGTTTTTAAGTTAAACTAGTAAATGTTCATTGCTGCTAACTTTTGTTTAATTCCGCATTTAGCATAATTGTCAAGGACCATCACAAGTTGATGTAGCTTGAGAAAACATTTAGCAACCGAGTGATTTGTAATGAACTGTGGTACGAGTTTTCTTAGTTAACTTTAGAGCAACCCTAGGTCTTCATCAGAGAAAGAGTGAATTAAAAGATTGATGTTCAAATCACATGTTTTAAACATTCCTTCTAAGTGCTAGTTTGCTCTTCGGTGTTTAGCCTGAAATTTAAAGCACTAAGGATTAAAAGGATTACAACATAATCTTAAATAATCCTAAATGCCATTTACAGAAAGATAGTGTAATAACTAAATAAAACCATGTTAAAGGATAGCATTCCTGTCAGGCAATGTCATAATACAAACTGCTTTGTCTCATCTCCCCTTTCTCATGGATACATCAGGCATTTACAAAGCTTTTCTGCTGGAAGTTCAATTGAGAAAATGACTGCAAAGTACTTTAAAACAATCACTATTTTTTTTTAACTTTTAATATCTCCTTGTTTCAAAGTTACAGAAAAATTTTCCCTTAGGTTTTCTTTTTTCCTTCGAGCATAAGGCTCTCTGGGTAAAACATTT